TCTTAAAAGAAACAAAAACCAAACAAACAAAACCCAAGCATTCTCTTACATCCAAGCAGAAACGTCATACTTCACCAAGCTTCTTCTAGTTGTGACCAGATGGCAATTAGTATTTGAAGGTAAAATTGGTTCCTTACCAGACTAATGGAAACGATTTCATCCATCTTCCATGTCTAAACCACTTTTCAATGAAAATATTATCTAAGGAGACATGCAGTAATTCATAATGCATGTGTAGCTCCCTCTAGGTTTGCATTTGGACCCTGTCACCTATGTGTCCCCAAACACTTGATTGGCAAAGTCGAAACTACGCTGTCACGATCAAGATCATGGTGCTAGATGATGTCTTACGTAAATGGAATTTCATATATCCTGACCTGACCAGAAATTATTCTGTTCTTAAGAGGAAGAAGGAAAGAAAAAATAGTGTAATGGGTGTCAGTTTTTTATTTACTACGAACATTTTGGTGGGTAAACACAATTATGTTACTTTGCATTATGTTGATTTGCAGTCTGTATTTTGGAGGGGAGTGGTGCAAGCACTACAAATTACCTAATGACACTGACAAAATTGGTTTCATTCTTCATTGAGGCAGAAAGGAGAAGGAAAAGATTTCTTTGTGTCTGAGGCACCGTCACAAAGACCCGTCCCAGTCTGGAGAACAGGCTTGGTGGGACCCGAGCACCCTCAGTGCCTGCAGCTGAGCAGCCATGGCTTTGAGAATTGCAGGGATTCCCAGGGCAGCCGGCAGAGGGCGCGTGCCCATCGCCCCCGGGAGGGGGTGGTTTCCCTGCGTGCCCAGCAAAGGCCAGAGGGCAGAGGGCGTGCCCTGGCCAAGGCATTGTCTGAGCCAGGGTGCCTCAGGGCAGGAAAGGCTTCTGCCACCCCCTGAGGACCCAGCGCCCCTCCGAGAGCCAGGGCTGCGTTGCCAGTAAGTTCTGCCGCCGCCCCGGGGAGAACCTGGGCCCTTTGTAGCAACTTGGTGCCTCCTGAGGTGCGACAGAGAAGCTGCCTTGTTGGCTGAGTGCTGAAGAGGGGGCTCTGGGCGGCTTCCCAGGACATGCTGGTAGGTGAGCAGCACAGTCGCTTGCATTTTCTGAGCTGTTCCCCTGGTTCATTCCTCCTTTTCCCTGAGGGTATTTGAACAAGACCTATTTTACCCAGGGATCCTTGGATTGAGGGGTCCCACGATGCCACATCAGAAATGCTGTGGTGGTTTGTTACAGATGCAGCTTGTTTCTGGGGAGAAATCCTGACCCAAATTCAGAGGAAGGGGAGCCGCATTCAGTTGGGACAGGAATACAGGCACTGCTGACTCTCAGGACCTTCTAGAAGGAGGAGCTGGGATCCCACTTCCCAGGTTCTGCTGGAACCAGAGCCCCAGGTAAAAACACAAACTGCCCTCCAGTTTGTAACCTTAAAGGGAGAAACTCTCAGGGAATTATCAGCCAATGTCGGGTTTCTTTGGAAGGAAAGAGACTTGAATGTAGGACAGAGAAGCTGTGATTAAACCTTAGGCACATTGGAGAATATCAGAGAGTCTCAGTGTTTTCAGGAGGAAAGGGGGCAATTTAGAAGGCTGTTAAGAACTAAAAGTCCATTGGAGGCATCTGGGAGTTAAAGTGTTGTGGCTTCTCATGGGTGCGTCCTGTTGGAGGAGGTGGGTGGGTGAGGATGGAGAGATGAGAATAGAGTTCTGCTAGCGGGAATAATGGAGTATCCATGTGTCAGGTCAAGTCCATGTCTTCCTGTTGGGTCCCCAGTTTATTTGGAGTGGTAGTGTGTGAGAGCTCCCCCTGCCCAAACCTCCTGCCTGTGTTTTGTGACATTTCCCGTTATGACTTACCACATTTCCCCCTTCTGAGCAAGATTTGCCTTGATGAGCAAAATAAGTCAGTCAGAGAAGGACAAATACTATATGATTTCCGTCATTTGTGGACTTTATGAAATAAAACATATGAGCAAAGAGAAGAAAAAAGAGGCTAACCAAGAAACAGACTCTTAACTATAGAAAAGAAACTGATGGTTTTCAGAGGGGAGGTGGTGGGGGTATGGGTTCAGTAGGTGGTGGGGATTAAGTCATGCAGTTGTGATGAACGCCAGGTTTGCCTGGAAGTGTTGAGTCACTAGATTGTACACCTGAAGTGAATATAACACTGTATATTAACTAATTGTAATTTAAATAAAAAAGAAGTTTCCTTGGAGGAATTTCTGACCAACAGCCAAGTTCTTTGGATTTAGTGGTTTTGCATTTCAGTGCCAGCAAAAGGCCTTTTTCTGGTTGGCATGGCTCCTCTTGGAGGGAACGTGCATCGCAGTTGTAAACGACTTAAGTGACACTTGAGGCAAAGGGAGAGTTAGAAGGGAGAAACTCTCACATACTTCCTGTGTGACGTCTGTGTCTGCTCAAGATTGAGACCAGTGAGCCAGCATCACCTCACTGGGAACAGTGTTTGTACAAAGGATTGAGCGACAGCAAGTACAGAACCAAAGCCACAGGACAATTCCAACCCATATATCGGTTCTAAACCAGGACCCTAGGTCTTTAAGTAGCCAACTGAAATCTCCATTGGTACTTGTTGGACTGAAGGAAGAAAAGGGTTCTCCCTATGAAGGCAAACCCGGAGTCCTGTATGCCTCCTGGAAGTGTCCTCCCCCAGTGGCTAGGAGCAAAATATCAAATACTGCGGGAATGCACTGAATGAAATCACTGAGCACATTTGGGAACATAGAGTACACTGAAGAACATGAAGCAATAGTTAGAGAACTTGTTGCAAGAATAGGAATACTTCCGGGACATTTCAAAATTATTGTTTTTTCAAAAGAACTTTAGAACTATATGGGTTATCAGTAGTGATCTGTTATGTTGTAAATTCAGAAACCATGCATTTGGATTAGAATCAGGATTCAGTTAATAGTTTAGGTAAAAGAAAGACTTGAATTCTGAACCTTCTAAACCTCTAGAAATGCTCACAAGATCAAAATGAGGCTATTTTTTTATTATGTTAATCACCATACATTACATCATTAGTTTTTGATGTAGTGTTCCATGATTCATTGTTTGCATATAACACCCACTGCTCCATGCAGAACGTGTCCAAAATGAGGCTATTTCTGAAAAGGTTATAATCTAAAGAGGTCTCCTCCTTTTGCAAGAAACTGGGGTATGCAGAAAATGGCATGTTCTTTGCACAAAAGAGGTAGAAGGAGCTTCAGTGAGAAAAGGAATGCAGGCCTGGTCTGGACATGTGGGGAAAGCTGTCTCCCCAGATGTTTTCTATTTCAATTTGGGAAGTATTTACCTTCTTGTCACCAGATGGTGTACTGGTCCAGTCAGGGTTTGGTGCCTTCTTTAAATATGTCCCATGGACCCAAGAGTCCATTCCCTGGGATTTGGCAGCACAAGGTTTGGTTAGCAGTATGTGATAAGGGCCTCTCAAGGGAGGTTGAAAAGAATCTCTGTGGAGGTGTCTTTTCCAATAGAGAGACTCTCCAGGTTGCAAGGTGTGATGATCAAGGTAAATGTCCCCTGGGAGTGGCCTGTGAAAAGATTGCTCTGCTACAACATGGTTAGTTTTAATAGAAGCAACTAGATGTTTGCATTATTGAAATATATCCCCTTTTCCCACCTGTGGGTCAAAAGGGGCAGTGGTCGAATGCATGGATGTCCAGTGACTGTCTCCAAGGGTGAGAGTCTGAGTTCCAAAGGGGGTGGGCTTGAGATTTAGAAGGAGTAATGGCAATGCCTTTGGCCCAGGTAGTTGGAAGATCTTTGCACATTTAGCTCATTGAGTCCCCAGTATTGCCATTATTGCATTGGACCATCTGTGAAGATAGGGGTTAGTAATGTACAATGAAAGTGTTGTAAAACTGGCCGAACATCACAAATGGGGTGAGGTCCCTGCACGGTAGAGTGGGTTTTCTGGTCACTGTGTAGTTCAAGAGGGCTCCCCTGGGAGGGATAATTTTTTGGAGAGCCTTTATTCAGTCTACCACACTGGGCTTAGCCTTGGGACTTCATTCATTAAAGGATCAAGGAGCCCTGTTGATGTCTGAGCCCATGAGAGATACTCTCTTCCGGATATCATATGGGGTACCAATGAACTCTGAAGGTGAAAAATGTCTATGTCTGATCACTGTCATCAACAAGCAACATTTAGGCAGAGACTTCACTAAACCCAATTCCTGTTGCCATCAACTGACATTCACAAAGGTACAAGCAGGCAAAGTTTATGTTCAAACCAGTCAGCAACACTGTCTCAAAATTATTTCCAAATGAGATCATGTCAGGACAGACACCTTGGAGTGGCTAGCGTATAGTCAATGCTCAATAAAAGCCAGGAGTTTGAAGGATTTCTCATAATCTAATCAATGAGTTGAGACTTGAGATATGATTCCCTTGGCTGTCTTTTGCCAGGATGCCAGGCTATATCCAGCTACGCCACAAGAGTCAAGCATGCCACTATTCCAGGCTACTTGAAAATCATGAGAGACTCTGATAATAGGCCATTGAGCGGTATGGATCTTGATATCATCAGCTCCATGGACAAGAATAATCCGCTAATGTGCTGGGGCTTAGCACTGAACCGTAAGAGGAAGTTGCTCCTGCATTTCCTCTCTCCCCTCCCAGCTGTGTCTTATAAACTGCTGTTGCTTTAACCACAGGTTGTCCAGAGAAACATCAACTCTCCTCCCACAGGATTATGATCCTCCCAACTGTGCACCAGAGACTCGGGACTATAATGGCATAGATGCCACCAAAAGAAAAGAAGGAAGGAACCAATTTTTTGGCAGATACGGAACTGAGTCTTTGTGAAGAAGCTGAAGGCCTTTCTGGATCAATAATAACATTTTCTGGTAAGGAAAAAATGCATGTGGTAACATGGAAGTGATTCTAGTAAATGAGAAGTTGTAAGAGTGTGTTTAAATGTAGAGAACAGAGCACTAAGAGTCCCATCGTCTTGCCATAATTGGATAACTGCTGATTCAACCCTGGATAAATGTCCCTTTGACAGGAAAATGGACTGTTCTACTTTACAAAGGTTGATAGAAATATAGCAAAAATCTGTGATAGCATTTCCTTGCATTGGCTTTGAAGACAACAAATGCAGGCTGGAATTTGTGCTGCATGCTCCATGAACGGCTTTTGTTATTTATTTCCCTCTCACCACCTCAGTCACTTTATAGGTAAAACAAAATGCCTGGGGGTGCCTGGGTGGCTCACTCTGTTAAGTGCCTGGACTTTTGATTTTGGCTCAGGTCACGATCTCAGGGTTATGATCTCAGAATTGTGAGATGAAGCCCCACATCGGGCTTGTCAGCCTAGCCTAGGGCCCGCTTAGGATTCTCTCTCTCCTCCCTCTGCCCCCCCATCCCACTCCACTCATGCTCTCTTTTGCTCTCTCTCTCTCTCAAAAAATTTAAAACAAAATGCCTGCCTCCGAAGGGTGTTGAGATAATGAAACAAGATACTGCATAAAAAACACAGTGCTGAGTGCACACCAATTGCTCAAACATCTTTCCACTGGTAAAGTTTCCCTTAACACACTGGAAATCACTAAGACTTTAGAAATCACCTACTTAAATTCTCTCACTTTTACAGATATCTTTGGGAAATATTTTGTTAAACATGTGTATATATAAATTTCTACTTAGATAATGTCTTGACCTAAAAGAGTCAGTGATTCTCAGATTTGACCCTGGAATCATATGAACTTCCCACAGGATCCAAAGTCAGGAAATGGCTGTGTTCAATGCAAAATGGCGGATCTTCAGAGTTTCATGGTCTCCCTAAAGGCCTATCTGTACAAATTTACCCAGAAAATCAATAGTAGACCAAAGAGATAGAAAGAAGAAATGTTACTGGCAAAAAAATTTCACAGTTTAATTGAAAAATCCTACTCTGTGATATCTTGATTAGTATTTTATTAGTAATGATTGTGTTTGCATGTGTAAGACCTATTCACTGATTATGCACATAATGCAGATAATGCTGAAGTGTATATTCAGATTAGATCTATTTTATGATATTTAGTTTTAGATTTATTGGCATGTTAATTTGATGATATGGCAAATTTATCTATGGAGGTATGGGAAATCAGAACAACTCATGAAAACATCATTTTTCAGTTTGGAGGAGAAAAGGAAGGAGATTTGCATTAAAAACTATCTGCTCTATTATCTGCGCTATTCTCCTTAGGAAGCAAGAATGTTCCAGGTGTCCCACGTTTTGATAATCTTTCCAATTGATCATTAAACTGGGACCAAGAAAGGTCAAAATGATGGAAGTGAAGACTAGAATGCTTCAGACTGATGGGGGCTGAATTCAACCCCAAGAGCCAGGAGCACAGTGACAGGGCATTAAAAGAGGCAAAAATAAGCCACCAAAATATTGGTGGCTCCAATCCAATAGCTTTTCTAGTTTCTTTGAATATCAAACAGTGAAAGCCTTCTGCCATAAACAGTTGTGAAGTTTGATTTTTAACGTGCAACGTTTACTGAGTCCTAGCTACCCACCAGGCACTGTGCTAAGGTGCTCACTTAAACCCCACAATTAACCAATGAAGAAGATACTACCATTACTCTCATTGCACAGATGAAATGGAACTTGGAGATACTAAGCAACTTGGCAAAGGGCATCCAGAGAGGCAAGTGTGGATGCAAGTATGTGTGTTGCATATGTGCATACACACACGTGCACACGTGTGTGTGTGGGTGTGGGTGAGTGGGTGGGTGGGTGTATGTGTGTGTGTTTAGGAGAGAAGTTGGGTCTCACTTTCAGCAAAATGCTAAATCATAAGCATGGCCCCCACTACTTTCCCTCTCCCCACCCTTCTCTCCTCTTGCTACCTCCACCATACTTGCCCAGGTGGTCCCTCTTCTTTCTTCCTTGACATAATGGAGAATTTAATACCAATGGTATGGCCAGAAATAGCTCTTCCTGGGCTACGGTAAGTTGCATTTGCACCAAATGGGCCTCTTGCTTCTCCAGACGTCACTCTGAGCAGTAAAGAAGGCTTGACAACAACAGTGAGGGGATGGTACACCCTGCACCCTTTGTTCTGCTGTTTATGTTATCACCATGCGGCAGACTCAGGCACCCTTTGCACCTGCGGAGTTTTCCATCCCATACAAGGCAACTAAGTAGGACTAGAAGGCAAAAAGATAAGGGTATTCATCTTCAGCAAGAAACCCTTATTGAAGAAGGCAACACAAAGGAGGCTGAATAGCAGAGAGGTTGAGTACGCAAGCTCTGAGGTCAGGCCATACAGGTGGAAACCTGGCCTCTGCCACTATGAGATGGATGACCTTGGTCAAGTTGCTTAAGTGTACAGAGGTCTCAGTTTTCCCATCTGTAAAATAGAGATAATAATGGCACCAACCTCACAAGCTTGTCATGAATGCTAAATGATATCAGGAATGCAGAATGCCTGGTCTACAGCAAGCACTGAAAAACACTGGCTTCTGTTATTGAAGACAGCTCTGTAAGTCATGTTAAGTAATAAGAATGAAATACACAGGCTCTACCCACACCATCTAGGTAGGTTAGGGAGACAAGGCACATATATTGAAAACAATTAATAATATAAGGTAGAAAACTGTCACGTGAGGAATACTGGTGCATATTATGGAAATTCAGAGGAGGAAATAACAGTATTATTAAAAAAAATGTTAAATTACAGATGGCAGTAGGAAGGTGACTTTACCAATGTCACAAAGCTAGTTTTGAAGGAGTCCAGAGTAAAGTCCAGGTCTCCTGATTCATGAAGTAAAACTATTTCATGAACCTAAGCCACTAGGGTACTAATGAAAATAATCTTAACAAAAGCATTAGTTAACACTTTGAAGGTACTGTCTACATGCTGGGCATTTTACACACATTATCTTATTAAATCCTCATAATAACCCTAGGAGACAGATATTATATTCCTCCCCCATTTTACAGATGAGAAAATTAAGGTGCATGAAGGGTAAGTGATTTCTTAATCACTTAAAGTTGCTGAGCCAGGACTTAAGGTTCCTAACCAATTATAATGAAGAACTGAGGGGAAAGGAAGGCAGGGAAGCCGGAAGGAAGGGGAATGACAGACTAAATCCTAGAGCTAGAAATGGCCATTCAAGAAAAGTGAGTGGACTGCTTTTACTGGAAGAGTAAATTCAAGGAGAGGAGTTAGAAAATATAGTAGAATCGAGTATGAAGCAGACAGAAGCAGGGCTTGAATGTCCATTGTGGCAGCAAATACTCTGTTTGTCTATTGTTTGGTTGGGGGAGAGGGTAGGGACAGAAGATGGGAGCTTGACAGTTCTATAGTTGTTAGTTTTGTTTTGTTTTGAAGAATAATCTGATCATAGACAGAATGAAGAGGAAGAGGCCCGTGGCAGGGAGACTGGTGAGGGCTGACTGCCACAGCTCCAAAGAAGAATGGGTCTTTGCCAGGTGTTCCCCAACTTCCTGGGTGGGGGGGGCACACAGCCACAATCCACTTCCCAATCTCCCCACAGAGCATCCAAAGAAACTAACGCTCTCCACTCATCTCTCCCCACAGGCTGCAGAACTTCCACATCCATATCAGTTGACAAAGCCCTTTGGGAATCATGATGATTTTTTTCCGATACCAGACATTCAGATTCATCTGGCTTGCCAAGCCAACTGGCCGGTACCTTCACAAAGATCATCAGCTTTGGGCGCCTCTGACTCTTGCTGACTTTGAAGCCATAAATCGCTGTGAGAAGTCACTGCCTAAGAACTTTAACTTTGCTGGGGATGTGCTGGACCAGTGGTCCCAAAAGGAGAAGGTATGACATGACAGGCTTCTATTAGATGCTTGGCATCCATGTATATCTCAGGCTTCCATTTCCTTGTTCCGTGGTCCATTTGCCACTCTTAATTCAGTTCTTTCATCCCTCTTGGTTACCTTTGTTTGTTTTCCCCTTGCCCTCCACTCTCCCCAGGCAAGATCTTTAATCCACAACTCCACATGCTGTCTTTCTCTGGATCCTCCTCAGTCCCCCTTATGGTGATTACTTAGAGAGTCCTGCCTCTTTTCCTTCATTTTCTCCAAGTCCCATGCAGCAGCTCTTTGCTCTCCATTCATCGGTTTGGGCTGGTCACAGGCTTATCCAAAAAGCAGTAATTTGAGCTTTTTTTTTTTTTTAATTTATTCATTTTTTAATTTTTTTTATTATGTTCAGTTAGCCACTGTATAGTACATCATTAGTTTTTGATGTAGTGTTCAGTGATTCATTAGTTGCATGTAACACCCAGTGCTCATCACAACATGTGCTCTCCTTAATACCCATCACCCTGTTACCCCATCCCTGTACCCTCCTCCCCTCTGAAACCCTCAGTTTGTTTCCCAGGATCCATAGTCTCTCATGGTTCGTCTCCCTCTCTGATTTCTCCCCCTTCAGATTTCCCTCCCTTCCCCTATGGTCCTCCGTGCTATCGTTTATGTTCCACATATGAGTGAAATGATATGATAATTGTCTTTCTCTGCTTGACTTACTTCACTTAGCATAATCCCCTCCAGTTCCATCCATGTCAATGCAAATGGTGGGGATTCATCCTTTCTGATGGCTTAATAATATTCCATTGTATATATGTACCACATCTTGTTTATCCATTCATCTGTTGAAAGGCATCCCTGCTCCTTCCACAGTTTGGCTATTGTGGACATTGCTACTATTTTAAAATAATAGTCATCACTGGCGTGATTAGGAGAGAATCCAACATTGAAAAGAATAAAGCAAAAAGCCTTGAGTGTTTGCAGTGTAGCCGCAGGTCACATCCCTGCTTACTGACCCCACCCCATGTCGGGCACTGAGCTAGATACTTACCTATCAGTGCTTACCAAAATTCACTGCAAGGACCTGTGCCTCAGAAGATATACAGGGTTTCAAATAATGTTGAATCAATCTTTCCTATTAAACTGAGAGGACAGTCTTCCTTTAAATCCATTTACATCTTTAACAGCTCTCTTATACTTGCTAAATTCTCTTTTGAACAAAAGAGCAGGTAGAAGTTGAAAATCTCTGGGCGTATTTTGTTTTTAATATATTTATTTTTCAGTAAGCTATTTTTAACAAACGGTACTGGTTCTCCAATTATGGTGATGAGTAAATACATTTTCCTTCTTAAGTAAATGTGTACAAGAAAAGTGAGTGAATGTAAAGAAAAATACAAAGAACAATAACACAGGTGTGGGGAGGGGGTGGGGGGATGGGTTAGCCCAGCGATGGGTATTAAGGAGGGCACGTATTGAATGGAGCACTGGGTGTTATACGCTAACAATGAATCATGGAACACTATATCAAAACCTAATGATGTATGGTGCCCAACATAATAAAATAAAATAAAATAAAAAGAAAGAAAGAAAGAATGAAAAGATAAGCCACAGACTTGGAAACCATATTTGTAGAACAGATATCAGATAAGGGACTTGTATCCAAACTATATCCTTAAGTCTCAAAATTCATTAATAAGAAAATAAACCAATACATGAGCAAAAGAGTTGAATCACCACTTCATTAGAGCAGACGTAAAGATGCTTAACATCAGCGGTCATTAGGGAAATGCAAATTAAAGTCACAATTATACTACTGCATACTTCTTAAAATGCTAAAAAGGGTGACCATGTCAAGTGTTAGCAACTGTAACTATTTCACTGTTGGTGCAAATGTAAAATGATACAGCTACTTTTGGGCGCCTGGGTGGCTCAGTTGGTTAAGCGACTGCCTTCGGCTCAGGTCATGATCCTGGAGTCCCGGGATCGAGTCCCACATCGGGCTCCATGCTCGGCAGGGAGTCTGCTTCTCCCTCTGACCCTCCCCTGTCTCATGTGCTCTCTGTCTCTCTCATTCTCTCTGTCTCAGATAAATAAATAAAATCTTTAAAAAAAAAAAAATGATACAGCCTCTTTAGAAAACAGTTTGGCAGTTAAAATAAAAGTATTAAACCCACACACACAAAAAAAAACAAAAACAATAGCACAGGTGTAGATAGATCTGGCAAAAATAGTGATACTCCAATGACTAAAGACTGAGGAATACTGACCTATATTATTTCATCAAATCCCCATCACCAACCTGGGGGGTTGCAGATAAGGAAATTAACCTCAGAGAAGTTAAGCTCCTTATCCAAGGTCACCAGTCCCAAGGGTACAGGAAGCAGCCCCTGATCTTAGGGGGCTTATACCCACAGGGGCAGGGCCTATGATACAGTGTAATGGAGTCATCTGGCATTTGAGCACCCTGCTGCAGAAACACAGAGAAGTCAGAGAGGAGAAAAAGAGGAGCCTGAGGAAACCTTCACAGAGGAAGTAAAATGGAAATTGAGTTTTGAAATAGTTTCCAACCAGGAAAGGTAAAAGGAGCATTCCAGATATTCCAGATAGGGGAAGAAAGGAGGAGTAAATTTTTTTCCCAGGTAACACATAAAGCAAAGAGGTTTTGCAGCATAGACAGTGTACTCTGTAGAATCATATGAGCAGTTTCCTCCGAAATCAGTCCCTTGATGAACCTCCCCCAGAGGCCCCACCATCTTGTTCTTTGTTACCTATGAAACCCATACTTCAGCCTTTTGGGTTAAAAAAAAAATGTTAAGTTCCTAATCAACCTTAATACAAAAATTGGGGTTATTTGGATGGAACAGAATCTAACTTAATCAAGAAAAAAAATTTATTGGACATGGGAGCGCTCATAAAACTGGGTTGCAAACTGGACAGTCAGTCTCAGCAAGACCAGGGAACCAGGACAGCTTCCTGGGGATATGTAAGCACCAAAGGCCCATACACAGGTTTTTTTCCAACCATATTCTATCTTTTGGTTCTTCTCAGAAAACTCAAAGTCCGAGAGAGAGAAGGTCTGACTCGCCCAACGTGGGTCACATGCCACCCACTGCTGGGTGGACAATTACCCTGATGGGTTGTCTCACCTAGGCTGTATTCGATAGGAGAGGAGTAGTTCCACCAAAGACAAACTGGGGTACTATTACCAGAGTCCACCAGCGTGGGTGCTGAGGGGAAGTAATGGCAGATGTGTCCCATCTATTTGGTAGACCAGTCATGTAAGCTTTCTTTCTTTCCCATGTGCCCATGGCCAGACAGGAGAGAGACCAGCCAACCCAGCCCTGTGGTGGGTGAATGGCAAAGGGGACGAAGTGAAATGGAGCTTTGAAGAACTGGGCTTCTTGTCCCGAAAGGCTGCCAATGTACTCACCAAGCCCTGCGGCCTAAAGAGAGGAGACCGAGTGGCCGTGATCCTGCCCCGTATCCCAGAGTGGTGGCTTATAAATGTGGCTTGTATGCGAACAGGTCAGTGCCAATATTTAACACTTCCTTTTAAAAAAAGATTTATTTGGGCGCCTGGGTGGCTCAGTCGTTAAGCGTGTGCCTTCAGCTCAGGTCATGATCCCAGGGTGCTGGGATCGAGCCCCACATCAGACTCCCTGCTCCGCGGGAAGTCTGCTTCTCCCTCTCCCACTCCCCCTGCTTGTGTTCCTTCTCTCGCTGTGTCTCTCTCTGTCAAATAAATAAATAAAATCTTTAAAAAAATTGTTTTTAAATTAAAAAAAAAAAGAATGTAAGGATTTATAAGAATATGACTGTGGATCCCAGTTGGAAAACCTCTGCCTCTTTCTAGGCAAAAAGATTAATGTATTCAATGACACATTTTCTACCGAAGTAGTAATTTATAATATACCCCAAATAAAAATTCCACAGTATTGTTTTCCCCTTTAGGACAGAGGTTGGCAAAAACCATGGCCTATGGGTTGGCCACCTATTTTCATAAATAAAGTTTTAAAGTTTTAGTGGGATACAGTCATGCTTGCTCATTTACATATTGTCTATGGCTCTTTTTGCTCCACAACAGCAGAATTATTAATTGAGACAGAGATGGAATGGCCCACAAAGCCTAAGATATTTACTATCTGGCCCTTTACTGAAAAAGTTTGCCAATTCCTACTCCAGAGCATGATATAAATGTTTATAAATCAATTAAAAATAAATAAGAATACCAAAGGAAAAACTGTAGAGAACACTAAGATGTTTGTTACAATATCATTAATAAGAGAAAAAAAATGGAAACAACTATATAGAAATAATTAAATAAATCATGACTTAGCTAACAAAGTTTAGTAGAGGTATATTCACTGCTGGTTGAAATGATGATACCTCAACCTGATGGGATATCATTAAAAAGACCAATTATAAGGATTTCATAATGGTGTTGAGAAATGATCTTACTGCCAATATTAAATTTTTTAAAAAGCAATAGATAAAATTCTTTTTGCTTTCAGTATAAAAAGAAACTTGGAAATGTGAAACCAATTGTGGGTTGAAAGGAGATTAAAAGTGGTTTGTCATTAAAAATGTACTCAACATTACTTAACATAATTTAAGCAATTTGGGAAATGCCAAGATTAAAAACGAACCCATAAGCTGAATGGTCAAAACATTCAGTTAATTAAATGTTAAGCAAGCAGCTGAGGATTGTTTTCTAATTCAGAGTTATTAAATCTTCTGAGTGAATACTGAGATGCTTTGTATTGTACCATGTGGCAAAATATTTTGCTTTTGCTGTAAAGTGTATACGGTCTGAAATCCACCAGACGAGAACTTTTCCTTAACCCCCACTCTATCCACTGAACACATTCATATCACAAATCTACTAAGAGTACTAATAATTTCTGAGCCATTAAGAACAAGTGTTTGTGGGATGACTGGATGGCTCAGTCAGATAAGCGTCTGCCTTCGGCTCAGGTCATGATCCCAGGGGCCTGGGATCGAATCCTGCATCCGCTGCTCAAGCCTGCTTCTCCCTCTTGCCTACCGCTCCCCCTACTTGTGCTCTCTCTCTCTCTCTAACAAATAAAGTAATAATCTTAAAAAAAAAAAAAAAGAGCAAGTGTTTGCAAAATAAGTATTTTTATATAGAGTGTACTATCTGAGATCCAGTTAGGTATTTTCTTAATTAACTTCCTTAATGTCATATATACATATATATATATTCATTTTACCAAGAGGTGATGACATGTGAGAGGTTTTAAGATATACACAATGAGCATAGTCTCCTTTCTAGGAATTCAAATCCACATCTCCCCATTTCACTGACTAGGAAACTCACCAAGAAATGAGCACGGGTCTTGGGAGTCTAGGAGATGTATCTTTGAATCCTGGTTCTGCCGCTTACTGACTTTGTGACCCTTGGGCTCGTTGTCATCTATATACTGGGGTTGATTTTGAGTGAGATAGCAGACACATAATAAGTGCTCAATAAATGGTAGTGGCTATTTGTGATGCCTTACATACAGTTCTCTTTCCTTCACTGATTCACTTTAGAAAGAGCAAACCACCTTCCCTCTTTCATCTAATTCTCCCATATATGCTCTTCTCATAAGAAACTGGTATTTTAAAATCAGGCCCATCTCAGGCCAGTGTTTAGAATGGAGTGAAAAGTGGGATAAACTAAGCATCTCCAAAGGAGTGTAGGCAAACTTTGACGATTCCAAACCACTGGGAAGACCCAGGTTTGAGGGCTGACTCTGCCACTCACTGGCTATGACTCAATCTCATATTCCAACAGCATGGACCTACATGGCTGCTTAGGACAGTGGCCTCCAGGCTCTTCTGATCACATAATCTATCAATAAAGTTATTTGGGATACACATCCTCCCATCTGGATATAATTATTTTTATTGTTCTTCTGTACAATAGAGCATGCATTTTATAAAATATACATAAAATGAGATTAAAACATAAAGAATACTATTATCTCAAAATTTTTTTAAATTCTAATTTTTCTTCTCATCTTCAGTGGATTACCTTGCAGAACTCACTTTGGAGACCATGGGTTCAGAAGATTGAGTAAGATAATGTTCCTGAAAATTTCTAATGAGCTGTAAAGTGTTATTTAAGTACTACATAATGATGATTCAAATGTCCCACAAAAATGTTACATAATAATAGCCCACCATTATAATGCCTACTATATGCCAGACACTTACTATTATTTTCCCCATTTTACAGATAAGGAAAGGAAGGCACAGAGAGATCAAGTAACATGCTCAAGGTCAAAAGCTAATAAGTCACAAGGACAGAATTAGACCCAAGGACTATCAGACTGAAGCCACTGCTCTAAGGATCTCCCAGTGACCAGGATCCTGTGGGATGTCCCTGGGGACCAAGACAGGAGTAGCCAAAGGCTGTATTCCCCACCCAAGCTCAAAGCCTGTTTCCATAGTCCATAATCTCACCTAAGGGACAAGAGTTCTGTTTCAGGCGCGCCTGGGTGGCTCAGTTGTTAAGTGTCTGCCTTCGGCTCAGGTCATGATCCCAGGCTCCTGGGATCGAGCCCCGCATCGGGCTCCCTGCTCGGAGGGAAGCCTGCTTCTCCCTCTCCTACTCCCCCTGCTTGTGTTCCCTCTCTCGCTGTCTCTCTCTGTGTCAAATAAATAAATAAAAATCTTAGAAAAAAAAAAAAAGTTCTGTTTCAGCTCAGGGCTTTCTCTCTTTCCCAGGGCTGGTCTTCATGCCAGGAACAACCCAGCTGAGAGCAAAAGACATTCTCTATCGGCTGCGAGCATCCAAGGCCAAGTGTATTGTGGCCAGTGAGGAGGTGGTCCCGGCAGTGGAGTCCATCGTGTCAGAATGTCCCGACTTGAAGACCAAACTCTTGGTGTCTCCATGCAGCCAGAATGGGTGGCTCAGCTTCCAGGAATTATTTCAGTGAGTGTTTTCTCCTGCCTCATCTGCAGTACCAGCGGTAACATCAAATGCAACTATATCTCAGAGTCTCCTTGCCTCCAAGGACTTAGCAATACTGTCTGTTGATCCAGACTCCTTCCCATAAAAGAATCACCTAATAGAAGATTTGACTTGGAGGATGAAGGAGGGAGTCAAGGTTGATCTGCTTTTTAACATGGGTGACTGAATGGGTGGGTAGTATCAGCTGGAGAAAGAATTTAAAGTTGGACATATTAAGATTGAGGGGTCTGTGAACATCCAAATGTCTAGCAGGTGGTAGATACATGAGTCTCAGACTCAAGGACTTAAGATACAAATCTGGAAGTCATCAACATATAATCAGTTCTGAAAAATGCAGAAATATAAAACTGAGGTGTCCAAAGAAAGTCAGTCAGACAATGACATCATTAATTGAAAATCTCCTTATCACCCACAGATTATAATGTGTCCTCTTTTGGTAAAAGAAAAAAGAAATTTAAAGTCTTACATTAAAGGTTTCCACACTGGATTGAGAAGCATTAAAAGTAATAGTGGTTGGGCGCCTGGGTGGCTCAGTTGGTTAAGCGACTGCCTTCAGCTCAGGTCATGATCCTGGAGTCCCTGGATCGAGTCCCGCATCGGGCTCCCTGCTTGGCAGGGAGTCTGCTTCTCCCTCTGACCCTCCTCCCTCTCACGCTCTCTGTCTCTCATTCTCTCTGTCTCAAATAAATAAATAAAATCTTAAAAAAAAAAAAAAAAGTAATAGTGGTTTTTTTCCCCACAGTATTAGATATTGTGAAGAAATCCCTCTTTCTCCAGCCCCCACACACCAACTTCACCATATATACATATATACAAACACATACACACACACATACACACACACACATCCCTTGAACATAATTTGATGCTCTTTATTGACTGCTGAATTATAGCATATCTTTAAAAATAATTATTGAGGGGTGCCTGTCTGGCTCAGTTGATAAAGCATGTGATTCTCCCAGTCGCCCATGTTAAAAAGCAGATCAGCCTTGCCTCCTTCCTTCATCCTCCAAGTCCAATCAATCTCCAAGTCCTGCTAGTTCTTTACTTTGCCTCCTTCCCTCCACCCCATTCACCAGGGCACAGATTCCTCTGTAGCCATTCTGACAGGTGTGAAGTGGTATCTCATTGTGGTTTTGATTTGTATTAAGGAAACATTTTCCAGAAAGCCTTTAAATCTCATTGACTGTAACTGTATGTGAGCCCATTCCTAAATCAGTCTCTGGCATGAGAATTACTACAATTGGCTTAGGATTATCAAGATTCACCCCCTGGAACTATATAAGGAACAGTCTCCCCTGAAGCATATAACTGCCTGATACCAGAACAAAATCAGAGTTTTATTAGTGCAAGGAAGTGCAATTGGATGCTATATGGTAAGCACCTAACTGTGTCTGCCAGTGATGCAGATGTTGAATAAAAAGTATGAAAAAGTTTGATTCAAATGCCAAAAGATCTTCCTTTAAATCGTAAAAACTACTGAAATGTTAATAAACAGTTCACAAAGACTCATGACTGATTTTTTTAAAAATTACAGATTAAAAAAAAGCACTTAGAAAAAAATGTTTAAGTAAATAAAATACACATCCTTTTGTCATTGATATTGAAAGTCATCTTGGCTATCAATGTGGCCTGTGCAGAGGTGGTGCTTAAAAAGAGAGAGAAATGAGTTGTTAAAGCTTAGCACTGATCTGCAAAATCCCTTTAAGATTTATTGAGAAATTCCTCCCAAGGAGGCTTTGGATTAGGTTTTGTTCTATTAACTGTTTTCTGGTATCCAGAGGGCACAAGTAGCAGAGAAAAAAAAAAA